AGTGTGTAGCGCTCCCCTCCCTGTGTCCATGTGTTCTCATTGTTCAACACCCGCCTATGAGTGAGAACATACGTGAGGCCAACAAACATTTTTTTTTTTTTTTTTTTTTAAATCGCAATGAGGTCCTGCTTTGTTGCCCAGGCTTGTCTCAAACTGCTGCCTTCAAGCCGTCCTCTCAACCTGGCCTCCCATAGTACTGAGATTACAGGTATGAGCCACTGTGCCCGGCTTCTGCCTACTTTTTACATCAACTATACTCAGCAGTCAATGCTCCATGCGAGCATTTGATAAGATCAATAATGTCTTTCAGCCTGCATTTCCAAACTACATAGAAAAAAACAGTAGTAAAGTCTTGCAAGAAGATGTTCCAAAAACCAATTATTATATACGTCGTCAAATGTTTTTACTTTCATTGCAGGAAGCCGTATTTATATAAAAGCCACACTAATCTTTGCTTAAGAACATGGGGACTTTTTATTAAAAGGGTGTTCAGGGAAAAGATGCTTCCATTTTTAAATCTGAGCTGATTCTGAAAACTGAAGTTCTATGGCACCAAAGTGAGCAGGAATGAGAAAATGCCCTCTCGTTGGACAGCATTCTTACATCACCCACTTGAAAATTAAATCTGAAACAGAGTTCTGACAGGCCTGCTATTTTCTTCAGTGCCAAGAGCCACACAATAGACCTTTTTTTGGGACAAAGCTCTTAAAATGCTTGGAAATTCAGATGGACTGAGTCACAAAACTGTACAAATACTGCACACCCATTCCTGCTGGTGCCCCTGCTCGCTCTCTTGGAAACAATACTATATTTTCTCTGTGTTTGGCAGAAGGAAAGAAATATTTTAAGTAGAGTTGTGACTTGTCTGAAGGGGTGACGGAGGGAGGCACGTTCAGAAAGTGGAAGCCGCTCGGCAGTCTTGAGGCTTCCGGGCAGGGGTGGTAGTTACCATTTCAGAAAAGTCCATTGGCTCCTCCTTCTCAATGTGGGCCATAAAACGATGCTCAGCCCCATGACTACACAAACTCCAGCATATCCTGATAAGTGTACAACATGCAGCATGGAGAGCTGAATGCACTGTCCACAAAGTAACACCCAAGCTGTCTGTATGTGGGTGCATGGAGGCTGGGGGGGTGGTAGGGTTGGAGACAGAGAGAGCAGGGGGAATGACAGCAGGAACACGGGGAAGGAGGAAAGTTGGTGAGGCAGTGGGAGATGCAACAAATAAAAATAAAAAGATCTCTGCACTATCTTCATGAGTTTCTCTCTCTTCCTTTTTCATGTTCAAATCAAATTATCCACCCCCATCGTGCAACTGTTTCAGAGATTTTGAAATAATTGAGATGTGTTGCAAACACATCCTTGCACGTCAAGTGAGCAATGACTTCAAGTCCAAACACCTCTCCAGAGAGATACTTCAGTTCGATGTTAATGACGGCCAAGAGTTTAGCTTGAGATGAAGGCAAAAGAGCCAAACACATCGACAAGGTCCTTAGAGGAAAGGAAGGGGGAAATGTTCTGAATAAAACTCCACTGGGCTAGAGAGGGTGGAGAGGCGTAGTAGCTGGTGGATTTTCATTTCTTTGGCTTAATGGAGCTGAAGACCCGCTTTGGGCTGCAGAAGGCAAGATAGACTTGGAGAACAGAGTTTTTCAGAGCCGTCT